ACGAAGGTGAAATCCTACAAGAGACAAGCTGAGGAGGCTGTAAGTATTGCTGTGTGCAGAGCCAGTCTCTATCCAGGTGGAGGTGCAATTCTGTGGTGGTGCTTTCCCCTGCGTAGCTCTGTTCAAACCCTTAACATTTTTGACTTTTCCTCGCTGTGCACTCTGGCTGAACAGCTCAGGGGTCTAGAGGGGTGTTAGAACACATTTTCTGTGAGCATTATTGCATCACTGGGAAAAGCAGTGAAGGCTCAGGTCAGCATTGTGGTCGTAGGTCTCTGCTTCCTTTCACTTTCTTTATTTCATATTTCTGTCAAGCAGAAAAAGAAATTACCTTCAAAAATTTTAATACATAATTTTATAGCAGTAAATAAATGGGAAATGATTTAATGGAAAAAACTGTAATTATATATAAGTATTCAAAAATTCCAAAGTACATTAGCACTTCACATCCAGAGAGGGATTCCTGGTATATTTTATTAACCATCTAAGCATTTAACAATTAAGCTATTCTTTTGGATTCCCCCGGAGAATTATTAGAGACAATTACATACTAACTCACAGTCTTTTTTTTTATTATTATGTAAAGGTGAAATTCCACACCATGTCCAGTGCAGTGTTACAGTAAGAATATTATTAAACATTTTTTAAATTATTTTATCTCTATTCCTATCCCCAGGAGGAGCTGTCCAATGTCAATCTCACAAAGTTCCGCAAGATCCAGCACGAGCTGGAGGAAGCTGAGGAGAGGGCTGACATTGCAGAGTCGCAGGTCAACAAGCTCCGAGCAAAGAGTCGTGAAATTGGCAAGAAGGCAGAAAGTGAAGAGTAAATTCCTCCAGTCGTGCAAAGTGAGAGAGTTACACAAAATGTGAAATTCTATCACTTTGTTTTTGTAATCACTGTTTAGTTCTTCATCAATCTCTAGATAATTAATGCTTAGATAATAAAAATTGTAGAGATTTTTCCATTGAAATAATGAGAGGTTCACTGTTGTATTTTAACCATTATCCTGAATTCTTATAAGGTTTACATTTTTCCTTACTATCTAAATTCATTCAATTAAAAATTTTGCTTCAGGTATTTTCAACGCATTTCAGACACTGTTAAAGTGGTATAATCAGACATCCTGCAGATGACACCAAGTTGGGTGTAAGTGTT